CCCGATCATCCCCGTACGACTCGGGACCTCCACGAGGGTGTACTCAGCGCTGTGGGATTCCGGTTCTCAAGGCGACTTCATTCACCCACGCGTGGTGAAGGAAGCCCGCTTACCCACGACAGGGTCTCCGACTCCCATCTCCGTTACCCTAGGGGATAACAAGACCCAGCGCTTCTTCGATCAGACGGTCACCGACCTCCCCTTCTTCCTCACTCTCGAGCCGACTGAGCGTCCCCTTGCGTCTCGTCGCCACCGCTCCTCTGCACATTTCGATGTGATGGAGACGGGGTACGACTTCATTCTCGGCACTCCGTGATCTCGTCGGTTCTGCAGCACCGAGGCCGATTGGGCGACCAACACTCTCGTTCCCAAAACGAAGTGTGGACAGACGTATCGCGTACCTTTCATAGGTACCACGGCGACACCACGCCCCGATCCTCCTTCCCCGGAGCCTTCAGTGCCCACACCATCTCCCTCTATCACTGTCACCTCGCCTCAGCAGTTCGCTCACTTCATTCGACAGGACGAYGTCACCTTCTTTATGGTGGACGTGACGGATCTCTTACACTATGATCCACCCTGTCCCGACGCCGAGATCATCCCTCTGGAGCCAGATCCTCCCTCTATCTCCATGGCTCTCATCTCTACTTCCGTCACTCCGCCGTCCGTCGAGTCGACCCCGCCGTCGCGCGCTGACGCTGACGCTGAGAAACTCGCACGATATACGGCTGACTTGGAGCCCGCAGTTCGTGACCTCATCCGAGAGTACCACGACGTTTTCCCATCATCGTTTTCGTATGCCGACATCCCACCGATGCGTGACGTCGAGCACTCCATTCAGCTCGTGCCTGACTATCATGTTCACCACCAGGCACCCTACAGACTCTCGATCCCCGAGGCCACCGAACTCAAGCGTCAGCTTGAGGAGCTCCTGAGACTGGGTTTCATTAAACCCAGCAACTCCCCGTGGGGTGCACCCGTCCTCTTTGCTCGCAAAGCGGATGGAACTCTTCGTCTCTGCATCGACTACCGCGGCCTCAACCGCTACACTGTTAAGAACAGTTACCCCATGCCTCGTTCCGATGAGCTGTTCGACCGCCTAGCAGGCAACCGCTTCTTTACGAAGATTGATCTTCGTAGCGGTTACCATCAGATCCGCGTCGCTTCAGCCGACCAGCCGAAGACCGCGTTCCGATCGCGATTCGACCACTACGAGTTCACGGTGATGCCATTCGGCGTCACCAACCCACCCGCTGCCTTCCAGAGGGCGATGAACGACATCTTCAGGGACATCCTGGAGCAGTGCGTTCTCGTCTACCTCGACGATATCCTGGTCTATAGTCGTACCCTTGAGGAGCACCTCAGACACCTCCGCGACGTCCTTGAGCGCTTGCGCAGACATGGCTTCTACGCCAAGCTAAGCAAATGCCGCTTTGCCCAGCACAAAGTGGATTTYTTAGGACACTACGTGTCTGACCAGGGTCTTTACATGGACGACGCGAAGATCACTGCTATTGCGGAGTGGCTCGCTCCCACATCCGCCAAGCAGCTTCGCAGCTTCCTAGGCCTGACCAGCTACTATAGTAACTTCATCCGGGGATACGCTAGGTATTCCTACGTCCTTACCTGCACCCTCCTCCGGAAGAACCCACCCTGGGCTTGGACACCCCTCCACGAGGACGCCTTCCTCGCCCTCAAGAAGGCGGTGACATGCCCACCGGTTCTTCACCTACCCGATTTTGACCGCCCTTTTATCCTTACCACCGATGCGTCAGATTTTGCTGTAGGAGCAGTGCTTTCTCAGGTCTTCCCCTCATCTCCTGATTCCTCTCATCCTCGTATCCCTCGCTTCCCACCACCTACCCCTACCACTGCTTCCCGACTGACGCCTACTCGTCCAGCTACTAACGAGCCTTCTATTGACTATTCTCCTACCATTGTCGAGGATGGCACTGTCGAGTCTCGCTCAGGTGATTGTCCGATAGCCTTCTACTCCCGTCAGCTCCTGCCCGCCGAGATAAACTACACTGCTGATGAACGTGAGGTTCTCGCAGTAGTTTATGCCGCTCGGCACTGGCGTCACTACCTGCACGGGGCACCATTCACGGTGCGCACGGACAACTCTGTTGTCCAGGCTTTTCTGACAAAGCCGAAGCTCACTCCTCGACAGGCTCGCTGGTGGCGCGACCTATCCGAGTTTAGTTTCACCACTGAGCACATCAAGGGTGAGACTAATCGGGTCGCCGATGCTCTATCTCGGCGCCCTGACCACGACCAGGAGCACATCCAACTCTCTTCCATCTCGGTCAGCACCGTCCACCACTCGGTGATCGACGAGTTTCGCACTTAGTACCGCCACTGCCCCGACTATCGCGACATCCACGCGACCCTTYGRAGTGGCAAGRCCGTCCCGAACTACTCTCTCGGGGACAACGGTCTTGTGTACTSGCACGGTTCACAGGGCACCAGAGAGCCCCGTATTTGTGTTCCCTCCACTGGACAGCTACGTGTCCGAGCAGTAGTAGAGTTCCATGACCAGGCAGTTGCCGGTCATATGGGATTCCACAAGACATTGGCTCGTGTGAGCCACCTGTACGTCTGGCCGAAGCGCAAGGACTTTGTGAAGGACTACGTTGCAGAGTGTCCCACCTGTCAGGAGGTGAACAGTGCGAACCACCTACCTTATGGTTTGCTTCAGCCTCTTCCTATCCCTGAGGGTCGTTGGCAGTCCATCTCGATGGACTTTATCGGTCTTCTTCGACCTCCGACCCCCCGCGGTCATGATGCTATCCTGGTCGTCGTTGACCGCTTCACGAAGCATGCACGCTTTGTTCTGTGCCGCTATGCCATCAGTGCACGCGAGGTCGCCGACATCGTATTTGACCGAGTCGTGCGTGACCACGGCTTACCTCTGAGCATCATATCTGACCGTGACCCGCGCTTTACCAGCCGATTCTGGCGATGGCTCCACGAGGTGTACGACACTAAGTTTCGCTTCTCCTCGTCTTACCATCCTCAGACTGATGGTCAGACCGAGATCACGAACAGGACTCTCGGGGATATTCTCCGAAAGATTATTCGTGACGACCAGCAGTGGGATCTCCATCTTGCCCAAGCGGAGATAGCCTACAACCACGCCGTCTCGCCAGCCACGGGGATGTCGCCTTACTATTGCGACCTCGGCTATCACCCTCGTGTTCCCGCGGACTTCCTCCGACCGTCACAGATGCACCCCGACACGAGTTGTCCCGCGCTGGATGATTGGATTGCACACATGACGTCGATCATGAAGACCGCACATGAGCACATAGCCGCTTCCCAGACTCGCATGGCAGCACGTGCGAACCAATCGAGGATGGATCATCCATTCAAAGTCGGTGATGACGTGCTTATCGACGCCCGCCACTTACAGCTCGAAGTGGACACGCTTCGCAAGTTTCGGCGTCGCTTCTTTGGCCCATGCCGCATCCTCCAGGCCGTCGGTTCTGATACGGCTTCTAGCCCAGTCAGCTTCCGTGTGAAGCTGCCCGACTACCTACGCCAGGCTCGTGTGCACGATGTCTATCACGTCTCGTTACTGCGTCCTGACCGCAGACCGTCTGAGCGTTTCGCTGGACGACCATACGAGCGCCCTCCGCCCATCATGGTGGATGGTCACGAGGAGTTCCTCGTTTCAGACATAATTGGTCGCCGAGTCACCGACGACAACCCTCCCCACGTCGAGTATCTCGTACGTTGGAAGGGTTACCTTGATGAGGAGGCTACTTGGGAGCCCCTCGAGCACTTGCAACACGCTCGCATGTTGGTGCGTGCCTATGACCGTGCTCGTCGTGCTGGGTTCACTGCTCCTCCTCAGCCCGCTGACCCTCCTCCTTCTCCTCCGGCTGAGGAGACCGCTGAAGTTGAGTCTACTCCATCTGAGGCAGACCTTCAACAACAGTCGGATGGTTCTGAGCTTCCACAGCGCACTCGTCGTCGTCCTGCTCGATACGACGATTGACTCTGACTTACCTTCCCACGTCTTTGACTTCTCAGTACTCCATCCACATCAGTTTTGCTACTTCAGCTCGTCGACGCTGCGGCTTTTCCTCGACGGTATTCCGGACTTCTCATCGTGGACGTCATCGGCAGCTTCATGGACTTCATCACGATCAGCTCTGCCTACTTCAGACGTCGCCACTCTCCTACCACTCTACCCTGTACAGTACCCTGCTTGTGTCGCATGATGGTCTCCCTTTAGCCGGGTTCCTCTGAGTTGGGCTCACCCTTGGTATACGCATAGGCATCAGGACCGTAGCGTTGCCCTGGCTTTCCATCTTACGAATCTAGCTCCGACTTCCCTCACTTTAGGAGTCGTTTGCATGATTCCCTTACCCATCATCTTTCTACCCTTCGCCGGCCCTCACGCCCTAGTTAGGCAGCCCCTCATGCTTCATCTAGTGCGCCCAGTATACCAGGCTCCCTTGTTCCCTTGCATGGTCGACCCTCCATAGCAGTCACCCCTTAGTCGAGCATTACCCGCCCTGATGGTCTATCTGTTAGGGTCATTGGTTCTGTTCGCTCCCAGTTCCCTACCCTCATTGAGCCTGATGACATGTGTTTTCCCCTGTCACTATGTATGTATGCTCTTAGGAGTTTTCGACCCCTAGGCTGCATTCGCCACCCTCAAAGACCATCCCACCCTTTGGTGTGCGACACACTTCTCATGTGAAATATGGTTGTCTTGTTGATTGTTTTGTTGCTCTCAGACTGAGGCTACTGCCTCCGACGTTTCTAGGATTTAGCTGTTCTGCTTTTGCTGTTCTTAGGACTTATACACTAGTCAGTTGTTACCAGACTGAGGCTAGTGCCTCCAACATTCTAGGATCTAGTTGCCACTACTTCTTGCTTTCCTATGACATGTATGTTAGTTAGTTGCTCCTACTTTCACTTAGGCTGTTAGCTGTGACATTGTTGTTTGTGACATTTTATATCCTAGGTTGCATCGCATGGACTCAGCATGGAGCTTGCTCCGCATCCTAGACTACTCAGGTTTTCTTTTCTTTGGTAGAGTTCCGCTTCTTGGCGGAAGCATGTTTGTATCTTGGCGATCCATCACAGGCCGAGGATCGTGTAGCGGACCTCGGGTTGGCCTGTGAGACCAGCCCCTTGGCCTGTTCTCACAGGCCTGTGTTATATTCGGGGTAGGCCAGTCCAGGCCGGTACCTCTGTCAGTACCAGCCAGTCCAGTCCAGTCTCGTCAGTCCGTTGGGGTATACCCCAGCCATTGTCTGTTTTCAGTCTCATTCCTCACTTGCACATTTTGGAGTACGTGCGTTGAAGTCTTGCGTGGGGAGCTGCGTTGTGCCATCTTGCTCCCCCTTCTTCCTCAATCTCCATCTCTGTCACTAGCGGAGCACCACACCTGGTGGGTCCGCTACATGTAAGGTAGTTGGGCGTGGGGAGTGGTTGAAGAAGATGGAGGGGGAAGGTGTGAGGTGATTGGCTATGAGAGATGGGTGAAAAAGATGGAGGTGGAGCTAGGTGGATGACTATGGTGGATGGGTGAGGGAGATGAAGGAGGGAGATGGCGCGAGGTGGATGACTATGGCGGATGGGTGAAAAGGATGGAGGCGTGGGATGGATGGTTGTGGTGGATGGGTGAAGGAGATAGAGGAGGGAGACGGTGTGAGGTGGATGGCTATGGTGGAAGGGTGAAAAAGATGGGGGAGGAGGACGGTGCGAGGTGACTGGTTATGGTGGATGGATGGGGAAGATGGAGGAGGAAGAGGGTGTGAGATTGTTAGCTATGGTGGATGGATGAAGAGGATGGAGGAGGAAAGGTCAATGCAAAGAAGATGGTGGATGAGCGAACCCCTAGATCATGTCAAGCGTTGGTCACCCATCTCACAAAAGTAGCAGCTACGCATCGGTCACCCATCCCACAACAGTAGCAGCCAAACGTCGGTCACCCATCCCACAACAGTAGCAGTCAAGCGCCGGTCATCCATCCCTAAGCAGTAGCAGCCAAGCGCCGGTCAACCATCCCACAGCAGTAGCAGCCAAGCGCCGGTCACCCATCCCAAAGCAGTAGCAGCTAAGCGCCTGTCACTCATCCCACAACATTAGTAGCCAAGCACCGGTCACCCATCCCACAATAGTAGCCAAACGCTGGTCACCGTAAACAATGCAAGCTCGTGACCACTAGATCAATAGGAAAAACAAGAACACAAGCAGCGCTTTACACCCAATTGAAGAATGAGGCAAAACATGAAGAGAAAGTGATTGAAACTCACTTTTGAGTACACGTACACAAAAGGGAAAGAAGCGATTTAATCTAGAGAGAGAAAATGGACAATGCATGAGCTTAAGACTACTAGAACATTAGGAAAAACAAAGATACAAGCACCGATTTACGCCCAAATGAATAATTATGCAAAACATGGAGAGAAAGTACAGGAAACTCACTTTTGAAGACACACACACAAAAGGGAAGGTAGCGATTTACTCTAGAGTGAAGAAATTGACAATGCCTAAGCTCAAGACTATTAGAATACTAGGAAAAGCAAAGATACACGTAACGATTTACACCCAAGTGAAGAATGAAACAAAACATGGACAGAAAGTGAGTGAAACTCACTTTTGAGCATACATGCACAAAAAGGAAAGTGACGAGTTACTCTAGAATAAAGAAATAAACAATGCATGAGTTTAAGACTATTAAAATACTAGGAAAACCAAAGATACAAGTAACGATTTACACCCAAGTAAAGAATGAAGCAAAACATGTAGTGAAAGTCAATGAAACTCACTTTTGAGCACGCATATACAAAAGGGAAAGTACAATTTACTCTAGAGTGAGGAAATGGACAATGCATGAGCTCAACACTACTAGAATACTAGGAAAAACAAAGATACAAACAACGATTTATACCCAAGTGAAGAATGAAGCAAAACATGACGAAAAAGAGATTGAAACTCACTTTTTAGCACACATACGCAAACGAAAAAGTAGCGCTTTACTATAGAGTGAAGAAATGGACAATGCATTAGCTCAAGACTATAAGAATACTAGGAAAAGCAAAGATACAGTTAGTGATTTACAACCAAGTGAAGAATGAAGCAAAACATGAAAAAAAATTAAGTGAAACTTACTTTTGAGCATACATACACAAAACAGAAAGTGACGATTTACAATAGAGCAAGGACATGGACAATAAATGAGTTTAAGACTACTAGAACACTAGGAAAAGCAATGATACAAGCAGCGATTTACACCCAAGTGAAGAATGAACCAAAACATGGAGAGCAAGTGAGTGAAACTCACTTTTGAGTACAAACATAAAAGGAAAGGTAGCGATTCACTCTAGAGTGAAGAAATGGACAATGCATGAGCTCAAGACTATTAGAACGCTAGAAAAAGCAAAGATACACGTAGAGATTTACACCCAAGTGAAGAATAAAGCAAAACATGGAGAGAAAGTGAGTGGAACTCATTTTTTATCACACATACACAAAAGAGAAAGTGAAGATTTATTCTAGAGTGAAGAAATTAACAATGCATGAGTTCAAGACTACTAGAACACTAGGAAAAACAATGATACAAGCAACGATTTACACCCAAGTGAAAAATCAAGCAAAACATGAAGAGAAAGTGAGTGAAACTCACTTTTGAGTACACAAATAAAAGGGAAGGTAACGATTTACTCTAAAGGAAAAAAATTGACAATGCATGAGCTCAAGACTACTAGAACACTAGGAAAAGCAAAGATACACGTAGAGATTTATACCAAAGTGAAGAATGAAGGAAAACATGGAGAGAAAGCGAGTGAAACTTACCTTTGAGCACACACATACAACAGGGAAGATATTGATTTACTATAAAGTGAAAAAATGGACAATGCATGAACTTAAAACTACTAAAGCACTACGAAAAACAAAGATACATGCAGCGATTTCCATCAAAGTGAATAATGAAACAAAACATCGAGAGAAATTGAGTGAAACTCACTTTTGCATACCCACATAAAAGGGAAGGTAACGATTTAGTTTCGAGTGAAAAAATTGACAATGCATGAGCTCAAGACTACTAAAACACTAGGAAAAGCAAAGATACATGTAGCGATTTATACCAAAGAGAAGAATGAAGCAAAATAGAGAGAGAAAGTGAATGAAACTCACTTCTCAGCATACGTAAACAAAAGGAAAAGTAACGACTTACTCTAAACTGAAAAAATGAACAGTGCAGGAGTTCAAAACTACTAGAACACTACGAAAAGCAAAGATACAAGCAACGATTTACACCCTTGTGAAGAACGAAGCAGGACATACAGAAAAAGTGAGAGAAACTCACTTTTGAGCACACACACACAAAATGGAAACTAGCGATTTACTTTAGAGTGAAAAAATGGACAATGCATGATCTCAAGACTACCAGAACACTAGGAAAAACAACGATACATGTAGCGATTTACACCAAAGTGAAGAATGAAGCAAAACATGGAGAGGAAGTGAGTGCTAAGCATACATAAACAAAAGGAAAAGTAACGACTTACTCTAAACTGAAAAAATGAACAATGCACGAGTTCAAGACCACTACAACACTACGAAAAGTACAGATATAAGCAGCGATTTACACCCAAGGAAAAAATGAAGCAAAACATGGAGAGAAAGTGGGTGAAACTCACTTTTGAGCATACATACACAAAATGGAAGGTAACGATTTACTCTAGAGTGAAGAAATGGATAATGCATGAGCTCAAGACTACTATAATACTAAGAAAAGCAAAGATACATTCAGTGATTTACACCAACAAGAAGAATGAAGCAAAATTTGGAGAGAAAGTGAGTGGAACGCACTTTTGAGCACATACATACAAAAGGGGATGTAGCGATTTACTCTAGAGTGAAGAAATTGACAATGCATTAGCTCAAGACTACTAGAACAATAGGAAAAGCTAAGATATATGTAGCAATTTAAACCAAGGTGAAGAATGAAGCAAAACATAGAGAGAAAGTGAGGCAAACTCACTTTCGAGCACAGACAAACGAAAGGGAAGGCAGTGATTTACTCTAGAGTGAAAAAATTGAGAATGCATGAGTTCAAGACTACTAG